GATCATGGTCTCAGGGAACATCTAGCTCAACTGGCATAACACCGTTTATAAAGACAATGTTCTACATTCTACCTAGGTGAATATCATCTGGGATCTTAAAAGCCTGTGAGCAGCCGTATAAGATACTCCACTGGTCTCACCCCTTCGGAAGCAAGGGAGAATGAAGAGAACAGGATACAAGGAAAAGATTAGTCTGAAGGACTAATTGACCACAGCCTACAAGGCCTCCACCAGACTGAGTCCAGTACAGCTAGAGGGTGCCTGGCTACCACCACTACCTACTCTGACCGGGATCACAATAGAGTTCCTGGACAGAGCTGGAGAAGGATGTAGAACAAAATTCTCACTCACAAAAAGAGGACCAGATTTACTGGACTGACAGTCTGCAGAAACCCCGAGACTATGGCCCCGGACCTTTTTGCTCATTGGTGAAGTCACTCCTGAAGTTCACCATTCAGCCAGGGACTGGACAGCCTCATAAAACAAAAAGAGACTAATGAGGCACAGAAGTCCAGGGACAAGGACTAGAAGGCAGGAGGGGACAGGAAAGCTGGTGATAAGGAACCCAAGGTTGAGAAGGGACAGTGTTGACATGTCGTGGGGTTGTTAACCATAGTCATAGGGTAATATGTGTACTAACTGTTTAATGAGAAACTGTTTGCTCTGTAAACCTTCATCTAAGGTACAAAAAAAAAAAAAGAATTATCTATGTGAGATCGAAGTGACAACAGCAACTCAAAAGGTTTGATGGGAAGCCTAGGGAGCAGTGAGTTGAAGATAATGGTGATGGAATAATTTGGAAAAGGATAGGGAGAATAGCAGCACAACTGGAAGAATGTAATCGATGCCACTGAATTGTACGTGTAGAAACTTTTGAAATGGTGTAACTTTGGCTATGTATGTTTTCACCAAAAAAAAAGGTCCTCCAAGGTCAAGAAGGGAGAATATTGACGTGTCATCGGGTTGTTAACCAATGTTATAAAACAATATGTGTACTGACTGTTTAATGAGAAAAAAAATACTTGATGCCCAAGCCCCGACCCAAGAGACTCTAATTTAATTTGGCAGGAGCCCTCGTTAAGAACGTGGCTGTTAATCAAAGGCTGGCTGTTCGAATCCGCCAGATGCTCCTTGAAAACCCTATAGGGGAGTTCTACTCTGTCCTATAGGGTCACTGTGAGTTGGGATTGACTTAATGGTAACGGGTTTGGTTTTGGTTTTGGGGGCGTGGAGTGAGTCTGGAAGTCTTTTTTTCGTGACCCTGAGGCAGGGGCAGCTTACCCAGTAAGCAAGATACACACGGGTTTATAGTAAGCAAGGTGCAAGGGTCTTATCTGTGTTTACTAATCTGAAGTGCACAATTTCACCTGTTTTTCACCACATCGTTGCTTATTGAGTAATCTGTCCCTGCCCTGAGGTGATCCTAATGTGTGGCCATCTATGCCAAAGCCGCACTTAAATATGTAACCGCCTTGGCAGAGGGAAGGCCGCCAGGGCAGGAGCCCTGGTCAGTCAGAGCGGCCATTTTCACTCTAGCTCTTACCTGGAGGGAGCCTGGTTTCTCTCAGACTCACTGGGCAGAGCTGGGGCTGAGGCAGCAAGCTCTGTGGCAATTTAGAGAAACTGTGGTCTGAAGATCAGGCTCCTGGCTCCTGGCTCCCTCTGGTGTCTAGAGCAGGACCTGCAGGCAGCCAGGTATTAGGAAGAAATCCACAGGCAGAACCAAGTCCCTCCCTAGGTGCTCTGGAAGCCACAGTTGCCACAGCTGCAATGTTCTGAGTTCTGGGGTTCTGGAGGACCAGGGATTGGCCTTGGAGAAGAATGGGCCATTGTTGAGTAAGAGGGGCTCTGCCCAGCAGCTCTTGCTGACCAGAGCTTGTCCCTGAACAATGAGACCTAGAAGCAACACATGCTGCGGGGTGCCAAGTGTGATATAGAAGGGCCCCGAATTTAGAGCCTATAAATTTGGGGTTTGAATCCCTACTCTGCCCCTAAACAGCTGTGTGGTCTTGGGTATGTCATTTACCCTTTTTGAGGTTCAGTTTTACCACCTGTAAAATGACATACGACTTGTAGATAGACAGGGAGAGAGGAGGGAGGTGGATGGATGGATGGATGGATGGGTTGGTGGGTGGGTGGATGGATGGACGGATGGATGGAAGGATGGATGGATGCATCCATGCATGCCCTTGAGTATTTTCTGACTCATGATGACTTCATGTATAACAGAACAAAATGTTGTCCCGTCCTGTGTCTTCCTCACTATCACAGGCATGTTCGAGACCATGTTTTCAGCTATTGCACCAATCCATCTCACCTTTTGAGGGTCTCTCTTGTGCAAAGGCGAGACACTGTTCTCTGTTGGTGCCACCTTGCAAGGGTACATGGAAGCTGGTTGTGAATATTCAGGAATTTTGATGCCTGATTGCTAAAACTTTGGTGGCTTGATATTAGCTGTAGTGGGAATATTTACACCACAGGCATTGGCAAACACTACAAGACAGGGCATTTTGTTGTTGTTCCTCAAGAGCCAGTTTTCCAGCAGTGCACTGTAAGCCAGAACTTCAGCGAATAGCAAGACCAATGTGGCTGGAACAGAGTGAGCAAGGAGGTGAGAGGAGAGAGCACAGGAAATCACGTGGGCCTTTGGCTTTTGCCCTGAGTGAGATAGAGAGCTATAGGAGGCTTTTTTTTTTTTTTTTAACAGTTTTATTTAGGTATAGTTTACATACTGGAAACCCTCGTGGCATAGTGGTTAAGAGCTACAGTGGCTAACCAAAGGTCGGCATTTCTATTCTAGCAGGCGCTCCTTGGAAACCCTATGGGGCAGTTCTACTGTCCTATGAGACAGAATTGACTCCATGGCAATGGTTTTTTTAATTTACATACCATAAAATTCACTCGTTTTAAGTGTACAATTTATTTTTTCTCATTCATAAATTTTTTTAGTAAATTTACAGAGCTGTGCAACAATCATCACTACAATTCAAATTTAGGACATTTCCATGGCCCCAAAGAGAGCCTTCGTGCCATTTGCAATCATTCCCTGTTTGCATCCCTAGCACGAGGAACCACTAATCTACTTACTGCTTCTATACACAGAGGGTTTTGAGCAGAGCAGGGACATGGTCTGACATTACTATCACTATTGTATCCTTTCTGTTAAAACATAATAAAGTCCCTGTTTTCTTTTCAGATTGTTCTTGTTGTATAGCAGCTTACAACATGTGCATGGGGACCTGCGGTGCAGTGAATTACTTAACATGGGCCTTCCAGCCATTCGTGGTCTTGTGACTCCCACAAAATGATTGGGTGGGACTGTGTGAGTAAGGTGCTTGTGGCACACCAAGGGGACTGGACAGCCTGCTAATAATGCAAATAAGGTGCATGAAACACTAGTGGGAGTGCAACCATGCAAATGAGGTGTATGGAACCCTAACGGGGAGATTTTTCAGCTCTGCCATCCTGCTAGGCTTAAAATAAGCCAATCCAGAAGTAGAGAGAAGATCCTTATTACCATCAAGAAAGAAGATCCAGGAGTGGAGTGCATCCTTTCCACCCAGGGTCCCTGAGCTGAAAACCTCCTAAACCCAGGAGACAGAGAGAGCTGCAACATCAGAGAAGGCAGTGAGGAGGCGAGGTGATGAGAAGTGTGGCAGAACCAGGAGACTAGTGCAAGACAGCGTGGTGGGCTTCCCAGCCCACAGAGCAAGGCAGCTACAGTGGGCATGCTAATCCACAGAGCGAGAGCTAAGAGACTTTGGGTGGGAAGCTTGCTGGCAGAGTGGGATGCCTCCAGGAATTTGTAGGCAGAGCTAAAGAAAGAGTTGTAACACTTGCCCTAGCAGGGCAGGGGCCAGGCCAACAGCCAAGGGCCAAGGGGCTGAGGAGCTGAGACAGAGGCCTATCTGCGGGCACCAGCAAGAAGCTGTCCTGACTGAAGAACTGTATCCTAATCCTGATTTGTAACCTGTTACTTCCTTACTAAACCCCGTAACTGTGAGTATTGTCTGTGAGTTCTGTGTGGCCATTGCAACAAATTATCGAACCCAGCAGAGAAGTACATGGGAGGGACGGCTGGTGTCAGAACTGGTAAAAAGGTAGGAGAAAGGAAGTATGTCTGACCCCCCCACCTCAGAGGAGTCACCTTTGGGCTGATATTCATCTTGATTCTTTCTCCTTCCCTGTGTGAAGTTAGAAGTGGTCTGATGATGCCACCACAGTGCCATTTTTACACAAAGGGATCACACCATTGTAATCCATAGGATTTTCACTGGCTAATTTCCAGAAGTAGATCTCCAGGCCTTTCTTCCTAGTCTGCCTTTGTCTGGAAGCAATGCTGAAACCTGTTCAGCTTCACAGTAACACGACGCCTCCACTGACAAACTGGTGTAGCTGCACATGTGGTATATTGGCCGGAAATTGAACCCAGGTCTCCTGCATGGAAGGCTAGAATTCTACCACTGAGTCACCACTCTCTCCTTTTCAGATGAAACCCATTGCCATTGAGTAGATTCCAACTCATAGTAATCCCATAGGACAGAGTAAACTGTCCCATACGGTTTCCAAGGAGCGGCTGGTGGATTAAAACTGCCGACCTTTTGGTTAGCAGCTGAGCTCTTAACCACTGTGCCACCAGGGCTCCCCTCTTCAGATTAGGTGACCTGAATTTTCAGCAGTGAGGGAAGGACACCTGGTGGTATTGTTGTTAGTTGTCATTGAGTTGGCTTGGTCGTGTGTTAGGAAATGCTAAATCAAGCATCAGAGCTGGATTTTAATCTCTCAGCCACTGTTGAGTTGTGACAAAAGCTTGAGTGGGAGAACTCTCACCAGCTAGCTCGAAGAGCCCCGCCATTTGAAGCCACTGAATGCTCTGCTGGCTTCAGGGCCCGCCCCCTCTTGGCTGTATTTGGGGCCAAAGTTCCTGAGGAAGACTGAGTCAGCCCTGCCTTTGCCAGCCTTCCGAGGAGCCAGAAGGCATACAGGCAGTAAGGCTGCATTCAGCTGAAGTAAACACAGAGGCCTTTTGCATTTCCTGAGTTCAAAAAGGTAATTCCAGGAGAAATCTCTCAGCAGCAAGGGCAGTCTCCCCTTGGGGCCTTTACTGATTATGCCAGAAGGGGGCATGGCCTGAAATGACCTTTGGGACTTGGTAGTGGGGCTAGTGGATTCTCATTACCAGCTGTGGAGAGGTCTGGGAACCAAGGAGGGAGAGGCAAAGGAAGGGCTTGGGACAGAGGTGGGAAGTGTGAGGGGTCAGCTGAGGGCATCTCTGAGGCAAGACAAAGTGGCCACAGTGGAGGTCACAGTGAAGGCCTAGGCCTTCCTGGTTGGTGAGAACTTGAAGTCACTTTGCCTTTTCAAGCCTCACTTTTTCTTTATCTGTAAAATGGAGAAAATAAAACTTACCTCAGAGTTGTTATAAAGATTCAATGGAATGTGTATAGAGCACTTTCAAAAAGTTTGGTGCACAGGAAGCCTCAATGTTGTTGTTTGCTGCCATTGAGTTGATTCGGACTCATACTGACCCCATACATTACATGAGGTTTTCTTGGTTGCAATCTTTACAGAAGCAGGTCCTCAGGCCTTACTCCTGAAGTACTGCTGGCTGGGTTCAAGCCGCCAACCTTTAAGTTAGTAGTCGAGTGCAAACCATTTGTACTACCTAGGGACTTTCAAGCCTTCAATAGATGATAATTACTTTTCTTGTTGTTGTGATGCATTATTATTGTTGGTTATTATTACCACTGTTCAGTTACTGTATTATTATTGCCACCAAGAGGCGTTGGGTGGAAGGAAATGGAAACTGGGGACCCATCCCCTAGGCCGCAGCCTCTCAAACTTTACTGTGCACACAACCCTCCTGGGGGTCTTGGTAAAATGTAGATTCTGACTCAGTGGGTCTGGAGTGGTATCTGAGATTCTGCATTTTTAACTTCCCCTCAGGTGATGCTGATTGATGTGGCTGGTCCTGGGACCACACTTTGAGTAGCAAGGCACTAAAACTGCATTGTCCAATACAGTAGCCTCTAGGCACCTGTGTCGTCAAGACATCAGATGATTTTAAGGTGCAACAACACTAGTATAGTTGCTGTCCTTGAGTAGTTCCATGTGACTAGATGAGTTGACCTAAAGTACAGCAGATTACCTTCCACAATGGAATTACCTTTCATAATGTAATCTAATTTATTATTTTTTATTGTGCTTTAGGTGAAACTTTACAGAGCAAATTAGTTTCTCATCCAACAATTTATACACAAAATTTTTTGTGAGATTGGTTGCAATCCCCACTATACGTGAATACTCCCCCCTTCCACACCCCAATTCTCCATTTCTATCCCTTCATTTTTCCTGTCTCTTCCTGCCTTCTAGTCATTGCTTTTGGGCAGGTGTTGCCTTTTGGTCTTGTATACATGATTCAACTAAGAAACGCATTCTTCATGTGTGTTACTGTTTGCCCAATAGACCTGTCTAATCTTTGGCTGAATGGTGAACTTCAGGAGTGGCTTCAGTTCTAAGTTTAAAGGGTTTCTGAAGGCATAGTCTCAGGTGCTCTTCCACTCTCTGTTAGACCAGTAAGTCTGGTCTTTTATTTTTGTGTGAATTTGAATTTTTTTCTACATTTTTCTCCTGCTCTGTCCAGGATCCTTTGTCGTGATCCGTGTCAGAATGTGATCCCTGTCAGATTGGTTGGTGGTGGTAGCTGGTAACCATCTAGTTCTTCTGGGCTTAGGCTGTGGTACTTGTGGTTCGTTAGTCCTTTGGACTAATATTTCCCTGTGTCTTTGCTTTTCTTCATTCTCCTTTCCTCCACATGGGATGGGACACATAGATGTATCTTAGATGGCCGCTCACAAGCTTTTAAGACCCCAGGCGCTACTTACCAAAGTTGGATGTATGAACAATTTCTTTATGAATTTTTCTATGCCAATCGAGCTATATGTCCCCCGAAACCATGGTCCCCAGCCCTCAGCCCAGTAATTTTGTCTCTCAGGGGGTTTGGATATGTCTATGACTGTGACTTGCCTTGGTCAAGTTGTGCTGCCTTCCCCAGTATTGTATACTGTCTTACCCTTCACCAAAGTTACCACTTATCTATTGTCTAGTTAAGGTTTTTCCCTCCCGACCCCTCCCCTCCCTCATAACCATCAAAGATTGTTTCTTTCTGTGCGTAAACCTTTTCTTGTGTTTGTTTCATTGTGGTCTCATACAGTATTTGTCCTTTTGTGACTGACTTATTTCGCTCAACTTAGTGCCCTCCAGATTTATCCATGTTGTGAGATATTTCTCAGATTCATCAATTTTTCCTTATTGTTGCATAATATTCCATTGTGTGTTAATGTAATCTAATTTAATGTAATAAATCAAGAAATGTAGTCCAAATTGAGATGTGCTCGTAAGTGGAAAATACACACTGAATGTCCAGAACCTAGTATGAAAAAAACATGTAAAATATCTCTTTAATAATTTCTTTTTCGATATGAACAGGCACGTCACCAAAGAAGACATTCATGCAGCTAACAGACACATGAGGAAGTGCTCATGATCACTAGCCATTAGAGAAATGCAAATCAAAACTGCAATGAGATACCATCTCACCCAGACGTTACTGGCATGAATAAAAAAAAACAGAAAATAATATCTATTGAGGAGGCTGTGGGAAGATTGGAACTCTTAAGCACTGCTGGCGGAAATGCAAAATGGTAGAACCATTTCGGAAAATGATATGGCACTTCCTTAAAAAGCTAGAAATAGAAATACCATATGATCCAGCAATCCCACTACTATGAATACCTCCTACAGAAATAAGAGCTGTTACATGAATAGACATAGGCACAGCCATGTTCATTGCAGCATTATTCACAATAGCAAAAAGATGGAAACAACCTAGATGCCCATCAACAGATGAATGGATAAACAAACTATGGAACATACACACAATGGAATACTACACAATCATAAAGAACAATGATGAATCTGCAAAACATCTCACAACATGGTTGAATCTGGAGGGCATTAAGCTGAGTGAAATAAGTCAATCACAAAAGGACAAATACTGTATGAGACCACTATTATAAAAACTCATGAAAAGGTTTACACACAAAAAGAAACAATCTTTGATGGTTATGAAGGAGGGGAGGGGTGGGAAGGGAAAAACACTAACCAGACAATAGATAAGTGGTAACTTTGGTGAAGGGTAAGTGCACAATACTGGGGAAGGCAGCACAACTTGACCAAGGCAAGGTCGTGGAAGCTTCATAGACATATCCAAACTCCCTGAGCGACCAAATTACTGGGCGAAGGGAGTCCAGAACTCCCATGGACCATGGTCTCGGGGAACATCTAGCTCAACTGGCATAACATAGTTTATAAAGAAAATGTTCTACCTCCTACTTTGGTGAGTAGAATCTGGGGTCTTAAAAGCTTGTGAGTGGCCATCTAAGATACTCCACTGGTCCCACCCCATCTGGAGCAAGGGAGAATGAAGAAAAGCAAAGACACAAGGGAAAGATTAGTTCAAAGGACTAATGGACCACAACTACCACAGCCTCCACCATAGTGAGTCCAGTACAACTAGATAGTGCCCGGCTACCACCACCTACTGCTCTGACTGGGATCTCAATAGTGGGTCCCAGACAGAGCTGGAGATAAATGTAGAACAAAATTCTAACTCACAAAAAATGACCAGACTTACTGGTCTGACAGAGACTGGAGAAACCCCGAGAGTATGGCCCCCGGACACCCTTTTGACTCAGTACTGAAGTCACTCCTGAAGTTCACCCTTCAGCCAAAGATTAGACAGGCCCATAAAACAAAATCAGGCTAAATGGGCACACCAGCTCAGGGGAAAGGACAAGAAGGTAGGAATGCACAGGAAAGCTGGTAATAGGGAAACCAAGGTCGAGAAGGGGAGAGTGTTGACATGTCGTGCGGTTGGCAACCAATGTCACAAAACAATATGTGTATTAATTGTTTAATGAAAAACTAATTGCTCTGTAAAACTTCATCTAAAGCACAATTAAAAAAAATTCTTTTTCATATTGATTACCTGTTGAGATGACAGTATTTTGGGTATATCTAGCTAAATAAAATGCATTATTAAAATTTATTTCACCTGTTTCTTTTTTAATTTTCTTAATGAAACTGCTGTTGTTAGTTGCTGTTGAGTCGATTCTGACTCAGGCCCACCCCATGTGTTGTAGAATAAAACTGCCCCATAGGGTTCTCTTGACTGTAATCTTAATGGAAGCAGATTGCCAGGATTTTTCTTCTGTGGTACCCCTGGGTGGGTTTGAACCACCAACCTTTCAGTTGGCAGTCGAGCGCAAACGATTTGTACCACCCTAGGGACCTTTTAAGGAGCCCTGGTGGTGCAATGGCTAAGTGCTCGGCTGCTAGCCGAAAGGTTGGCAGTTCTACTCTGTCACATGGGGTCACTGTGAGTTGAAATCGGCTCAATGGCACCTAACAACAACAGGGACCCTTTAAATTACATAGGTGGCTTATATTATATTTCTATTGGGCAGCCCTGCACTAGAGCCTTCTTAGGCCAGTTCAGAATTGGCCAAAGGCTGTTGGAGGGAGTATCTTTGAAGGGCTGAGCCTTGGGAAGTAGACTCTGAGTTACTGAACCACAGGCCCACAGACAACCCCAGGTAGTGAGAGGTGGATGGGATGGGCCTCAGGCTTGGAGAGGAGAAATGACTTGACCAAAATCACCCAGCAGAACTGAGACTACATCCCAGGACTCTGTTCTGCAGGTCAGTATGTACTACAGGCACCACCAGGCTTACCGCAGCCTTCTCTCCAATCTCAGCTTTCTCCCCAAAGCCTAGCATCCAGGGCGACGCTCGCTCTCTCCTCTCTCTGGTGACAGGCAGGAGGCAGCACCATGAGGCTGTGGTTGAGAGGCCTGCTTCTCCAGACCCTGAGGAGCTCTCGAGGATTCTGTGGGCCCCCGGGGCAGCCGCCACCTCCGCTTGCCTCTCAGAAGATCGTGGCTACCTGGGAAGCCATCAGTCTGGGGAGGCAGCCGGTGCCTGAGTACTTCAACTTCGCCCATGACGTGCTGGACGTGTGGAGCCAGATGGAAAAGGTGAAGCCACTTGCATCATGCTGTCCATTGTGGGCACCTGAGGCTGACCTCAGATATGCCCATGAGACTCAAGGCTATAACACACATGGATGTGGACTTTTGACCCGGGAATTTTGCAAGTCCTGATATCTAAACTGGAGACCTGGTGGCACAGTGGTTAAGAGTTTGGCTGCTAACCAAAAGGTCGGCAGTTCGAATCTACCAGCCACTCCTTGGAAACCTTATAGGGCAGTTCTACTCTGTCCTGTAGGGTCACTATGAGTTAGAATCGACTCAACAGCAACAGATTTGGCTTCTTTTTTTAATAAAAAATACCTAAACTGATAACATGGAAGGCTTAGAAAAAAATCATAACTGAGTGTTCTGAGCCATACACCCAAACAAAAAAAAAAAAACCAAACCCGTTGCCAACTAAAGCCCCATAAGTTTTCCAAGGCTTTAGTTTTTATGGGAGCAGACTGCCACATCCTTCTCCTGTGGAGCGGCTGGTGAGTTTGAACCACTGACCTTTCAGTGAGCAGCCTAGCACTTAACCGCTGTGGCACCAAGGCTTGGAGCCATAGACACCCTCACTCAATCCGTGAAGTGTATCATGTCTCTGAGTCAGTCACACACTGAGACAGTTACGCCCTTGTGATTCCTTGCGATCCTTCGGACTAGGTGGAGGCAAAAGTCCTGGTTTGTTTTTACTCTGTCTTTAAATATCTCGCTCATTCTCATGTGGTTCCCTCTTAAAGAAGGACAGAGCTGGGCTCAGACTCAAAGCTTCTCGCAAGCCATGGCGGGCACCTAGAGTCGAATAAGATTATCCTGATTTCTCTCTGTGTGTGCCTTCCTTCTTTATTTCCCCTTCCGTATAAGGTCGTTATATGGAACCCTAGTGGTGTAGTGGTTAAGGACTCGGCTGCTAACCAAAAGGTCGGCAGTTTGAATCCTCCAGCTGCTCCTTGGAAACTCTGTGGGGCAGTTCTACTCTGTCGAATAGATTCCAATTCATAGTGACCCTATAGGACAGAGTAGAACTGCCCCATATGGTTTCCAAGGAGCAGCTGGTGGATTGGAACTGCCGACCCTTTGGTTAGCAGGTGAGCTCTTAACCACTGTGCCACCAGAACTCCTCATTTACATTAGGGGACTTTAAAATTTTACTTCAAATCTATAGAGACAAAAAGTAGATTTGTGGTCGCCAGGAGCTAGGGATGGAAGGCAATAGGGAGTGATCTCTCAGAATGAGTTTTCTTTTTGGTGTGGTGAGAATGTTCTGGAATTAGATCATAGTGATGACTGCGCTGCCCTGTGACTATCCTAAAAACAACTGAACTGGAAACCTTAAAATGAACAATTGTATGACATGTGACTAATACCAAAAAGAAGAGGGAAGTTGCAGAACAGTGCAAATCGTATGCTATCTTTTGCATTAAAAAAATGGGATGGAAAATGAGTATCTACTTGTATTTGCATAAAGAAGTACTCGAAGGCTATGTAAGAAACCAGTCAAAGTAGTTACACACCAAGGCAGGTGAAGATAGATAGCACACAGGATGGGAGCAGAACTTCTTCATGCTTCACAACGCCTTTCCATATTGTTTTAATTTTTGTGACTCTATTAACTATTGAAAAAAATTAAATAAAACTTCTAAAAATTAAAAAAAAAAAACAAGAAAGCAAAAATCTTCAACAACTTTTGTTGCTTTTCTGCTTGTACCATCATCTAGGCTGGGCACCGGCCCCCAAATCCTGCATTCTGGTGGATTGATGGCAAGGGAGCAGAGGTCAGGTGGAGTTTTGAGGAGCTGGGGAGGCAGTCCAGGAAGGCGGCCAACGTGCTGGGGGGCGTGTGTGGCCTGCAGCCTGGGGACAGAATGATGCTGGTTCTCCCTCGGATCCCAGAGTGGTGGCTGGTGAGCGTGGCATGTATGCGGACAGGTCAGTGAGTGTGGCTGGGAGTTCCAGTGGGGACTACACAACCGGCCAGAGCTTTTTGGTTTGGGGGATGGAGCAAAATGAACTCTATGGGGAGTTTTCTTTACTACCGCTTTGCCCAACAATCACAAACTTGATTTATACAGAAACCAGGCAGTGATGCCAACGAGGAAAGCAGGCCAAGTGTGAGGCAGTAAGGAGTGGTGAGGACTGTGGTGAACTGCAGATCACATGCCCCGTCTGACAGGGACAGCTGCTTCTCAGCTCCAACCAAATGCTGCCAGGCAGGAATGAGGGCCAATGTTATTAGAGCTTCTAATTTTGTAATAGTTCTAAGTCTTAGTTTCTTTATCTGCACAATAACCCACTGCTGTCAAGTCGATTTCGACTCATAGCGACCCTGTAGAACTAGAACTGCCCCATAGGGTTTCCAAGCCTGTAAATCTTCATGGAAGCGGATTGCCACATCTTTCTCCTGAGGAGCGGCTGGGGAGTTCAAACCGCCAACATTTTGGTTCGCAGCCGAGTGCTTTAACCACTGCGCCACTAGTGTTCCTTATCTGCGCAATAAATATGATAATAGTATCTGCTTCCCCGGGTTGTAAGGAGTAAATGAAATACTGTGAAGCCTTGAGCACGTGTAAGTGCTCCATAAAATTTTTCTAGATGTCATTATTATTACCTTTTTCAGCTCAGGCATTCCATCCCTCTCCAGACCCTTTTTGCCCCCATCTTGAAAGGAGGGTACTGGCTCTGGACCTCTCCAGAGGGGTCTTTCTCTTCCCCTGCTGCCCAGCCATCATCTCCTTTCTGTGTGGTGTCAGGGGCCGTGATGATCCCTGGTGTCACTCAGCTGACAGAGAAGGACCTCAAGTACCGGCTGCAGGCGTCCAGGGCCAAAACCATCATCACCAGTGACTCCCTGGCTCCGCGGGTGGACGCCATTAGCGCCGACTGCCCCTCCCTCCAGACCAAGCTGCTGGTGTCAGACAGCAGTCGGCCAGGCTGGATAGACTTCAGGGAACATCTCCAGTAAGTTGGGGCTCTCTGGGAAAACGGGTGCAACAACAAAGCCAAGGCATTCCCCCTTGCAGCAGCAAGAGATGGAATGCATTGCTGATTGCACACAAAGAGTTAAGCAAGAGGAACATTCACTTTGGTAGCCAGACTGACCTGAAACCTAATTCTGGTGACTACCTTAACATTGTTCAAGGTCACTCGCTCACTCAATACTGGATCTGTCACTAGCTTTCCTGTGCCTCATCTGCCTCTGTAATGTTAATAATAGTTATACGAACCAAAAACAAACCTCTTGCCAAAAACAAACCCATTATCGTCGAGTTGATTCCAACTCATAGCAACCCTCTAGGACAGAGTTTAGAACTGTCCCATAGGGTTTCCAAGGCTGTAATCTTTACAGAAGCAGACTGCCACATCTTCCTCCGGCACAGTGGCTAGTGGGTTCGGACCATAGACCTTTCAGTTAGCAGTCAAGCTCTTAACCACGGTGCCACCAGGGCTCCTTATACAGCTATTAGCCAGAATAAATAACATAACCTGCATGGTGCAGTACACAGTTGGTGGTCCGTTAGTGATATAATAATAGCTGCTATGTATTGAGTGCTTACTATATGCTAGGCGCTATGCTAAGAAAGCATTAACCTACATACATTCATGTATCAAAAATTTAATGAACATTTACTTTGTGGTATCATGTTTGGTGCTCAGAACACAATAATAAATAATCGTCTTATTTAATCATTGGAAAAAACCCTATGAAGAGTGCTTTATCCCAGTTTTACAGGTTAGGAAACTGAGATATGCAGAAGTGACCTGCTCAAGGTCCTAAAAATGCAGTCAAGTCAGGATTGGAACAGAGATCTACCTTATCCTGGTGCCAAGGATACATTTATTTGCCTTTGAGCAAGATGCTGGTGGAAACCTATCTGAGAAGTTGAGACTTTGTCCTGATCTGAGGCCAGAGCTAAAAAGGGGTCCTCTCAGGGTCCTGCACCATTGAGTCCCAAGTGCCCATCCCACAGAGCAACTGCATCAGATTCACCCAGGTGGTGTTTAAATACAGATTCCAAGGCCCCACATCTGACCTACTGAACGAGGCATATCTAAGCATGGCCCTGAGGATCTGTTATTTTAAAATCTATCCAGGTGGTTTTGATGAACTGCTAGGTTGGTCTAGATCAAACTAGAAAAAAAAACCGTTGCCATCGAGTCAACTCATAACAACCCTATAGGACAAAGTAGAACTGTCCCATAGGGTTTGCACGGGGTGGCTGGTGGATTCCAACTGCTGACCTTTGGGTCAACAGCGGTAGCTCTTAACCACTGCGTCATCAGGGCTCTATCGGGGGTTCTCAATTCTAATTGTCATTAGAGTCACCTGAGGAGCTTTTAAAAAACACCAATGCCCAGGCCTACCCTCAAAGATTCTCATTTCATTTTGTCCAGGGTAGAGTGTAAGCAATCGTATTTTTTTTTTAAACTTACCAGGGGTGATGGTTAATTTTATGCATCACCTTGGGTAGGCTATGTTTCCCAGTGGTTTGGCCAAACACTAGTATAGTTGCTATGATTGAGTAGTTACATGTAATTAGAAGAGTTGGTCTTGAGTACAGCATATTACCTTCTGTATTGGTCATCTAGGGCTGCTGTAACAGAAATACCACAAGTGTATGGCTTCCACAAAGAGAAGTTTATTCTCTCACAATCTAGTAGGCTACAAGTCAAAATTCAGGGTGCTGGCTCCAGGGGAAGGCTTTCTCTCTCTGTCAGCTCTGGAGGAAGGTCCTGGTCATCAGTCTTCCCTTGGTCTGGGAGCATCTCAGTGCAGGAACCTCAGGTCCAAAGGACGCGCTCTGCTCCCAGCACTGCTTTCTTGGTGGTATGAGGTCCCCCGTCTTTCTGCTTGCTTCTCTTTAATGTCTCAAAAGAGATTGGCTTAAGACACTATTTAATCTTATAGATCTCATCAATATAACTGCCACTAATCCATCGTATTACATCATAGTGATAGGACTGACAACACATAGGGAAATCACATCAGATGACAAAATGGTAGACAATCATACAATACTGGGAATCTTGACCTAGCTAAATTGACAGATATTTTAGAGGGACACAATCCAATGCATGACCCTTTCCATAATGTAATCATCTGCCATAATGTAATCCCCTTCCATGATGTAATCTAATTTAATGCAATCAAACAATCAGTTGAGGTCATACTAGTATAGGGTGGATTCTAAACCTATTCAGTTCTGAGTTATAAAAACACCAGAATAAACACAGAGACACCCACATAGGGGAAGACATCTGGCATGTGATGATCATCTACAAGCAAAGGAACGCCAAGAATCACTGGCAGACACCAGAAACTAGGAGACAGGCTCACAGAAGGAATTGACACAGCTAAGACCCTGATTTTGAATTTTAGCCTCCAAAACTGTAAGAAAATAAATTTATATTCTTTAAAGCCACCTACTTGCGGTATTTGTGTTACAGCAGCACTCAGAAACTGACACGAGATGATTCTAAGGTATAGCCAGAGTTGAGAACTAGTGGGTTAGATGATTCTCCATATCATAAAACTTTAGGAATTACCCAGATCTTAAGCCTCCAAAGTTGGGGAGCCCTTTAGAGAACAACCCTAAATCACCAGGAATTAGTGTGGAAGTGGGAGAGAGGCCGTGCCTAAATGTGCAGGCATATGGACATGTGTGTGACCCACCAGAAGGTCCTCATGCCCTGGTAAAAGAGCATGGGCTCTTTGGAGCGAGTCATTTCACCATTTGAAGCCTCAATTTCCTTATCTGTAAAAGGGTTATCATGATAGTGCCTACCAAGTGAGGTGATTGTAGGGATTAGAGATGATGCAAGCTGGAGCTCTCAGTACAGTGCAGACAAGTGGTATTCATAGAAATGGCTGCCAACATTGTTGTTATAAATATTAGTGTTATTATTGCTATGTTTATTACAAGTAGCATCACTGGTATTTTCACATTTTACAGAGAGGCATCTGCAGAGCACACCTGCGTGAGGACCAAGAGTCAAGATCCACTGGCCATCTACTTTACCAGTGGCACCACCGGAGCCCCCAAGATGGTCGAGCACTCCCAGTGCAGCTATGGTCTGGGTTTTGTGGCCAGTGGAAGGTACTGTGGCAACTTGCCTGGTGGGTCCAAGGCACAGAAAGTAGGAGAGTGAGCTGGAGGAGGCGAGTGGGGGGCAGAGTGGCAGGAGTTGAGGTCAGAGAGCCAGCAAAGGGGCTACTCAGGTAGGATATTGGAGGCTTTGGCTTTGACTCGGAGTGAAGCAAGAAGCCATTGGATGGTTTTAAGCAATCAAGTGACACTGTCTGATTTGTTTTTTTAAAAGGATCACTTGGGATGCTGAGTTAAGAATAAACTGTAGGAGGCAAAGGATGAATCAGGAGCCTATTACCCTGAGAGGCCATTGTAGTAAGAGGTGAGGGTGGTGGCTTGCCCAGGGAAACAGCAGTGGAAGGAGTAAGAAGAGGTGAGATTCTGAATGCATTTTGAAGGTAAGTCTAATAGGATTTGCAGACAGATTCCATGTGGAATGAGAGAGAAAGAGAAGAGTCAAGGATGACTCCAAGGTTTATGAGCAGCCAGAATCATCAAGTGATAGCAGCAAGTCTGTTGGATGTGCCGGTCTGATGGGAGGGAAATGAGGAACTCTTTTTTGACACTGGAAGTTTGAGATGCCTATTAGATATCTCCGTACTGGTAAACCAGTTGCTGTCAAATTGATTCCAACTTATAGTTTCCCCATATGTATCAGAGTAGAACTATGCTCCATAGGGCTTTCGATGGCTGATTTTTCAGAAGTAGATCACCAAGTCTTTCTTCCAAGGCACATCTGGGTGGACTTGAACCTCCAACCTTTCGTTTAGTAGCCAAACACATTAACCGTTTGCACCATCCAGGGACTCCAGACATCTCCTTACCCATAGTTAAAAGTGGAGATGTTGAGCAGACAGTTGGATATATAGTAAAACCTATGAAAGCTGGAAACTGTGTAAGGAGGAAACCTGTCAGAGAAGGAAAACTCAAATATTTTCCACCAAAATGAGTGATAGAAAAGTGCTAAGATTGCACCCTGTCAAAGACGGAAAACTTGGGAGACCCAGAAAAACAACGCAGTCCTGTCAAATTCTGGCTCTCACAGGTTTCACTCTATGTGTCTAGAATTAATGAGAAAGGTTCATGCTGGAGTTATCAGAAGCAAGATAATGCTTAAAGCCATGATATTGGATGAGATCAACAGACAGAAATATCCATTGAAAGGAGAAGTCTGAGGACGAGCTCCTGAGGCATTTCTACATTGAAGGGGGAGGTGAGGAGACTCAGCAGAGGACACTGAGAAGAAATAGCCAATGGGTAGGTGGAACAAGCACAGCCTGTGTCCCGGGATCCAAGTGCAGAACTGGACCATTTTTCTGTCTTCCATGTTTGCAGGCAATGTTTCTCCATCCTAGAATGGCCTTCCTTCTCTGCCTCACCCCTGTAATTCTTGTACGTCATTTAAGTCTAACTCAGGTGTTACTTCCTCTACAAAAGCATTTCTAAGACCCCCATCTCTACCCTTGTTCTTGGTTAGATGCCCATTTTCTGTGATTGCATAAGGCTCAGTGTTTACTGTCTCAATGTATGTTCTTCAGTGGCTTCCCAGATATTTATATTTATTGAACTATAAGCTCCTCAAAGCAAGACTAATTGTTTATGTTTATATGCCTGATGACAAGCTCCAAATGACCAAAAGAGATCCATATTTGTACCTATTCCAAAGAAAGGTGATCCAATAGAATGCAGAAATTATCTAACAATATCATTAACTGACTCATAAGTAAAATTTTGCTGAAGATCGTTCAAAAGCAGTTGCAGCAGTACATCAACAGGAAACTGCCAGAAATTCAGGCTGGATTCAGAAGAAGACTTGGAAAAAAGGATATCATTGCTGATGTCAGATGGATCATGGTTGAAAGCAGAGAATACCAGAAAGATGTCCACTTGCGTTTTATTGACTATGTAAAGGCATTCGACTGTGTAGATCATAATAAATTATGGATAACAGTGTGAAGAATGGTAATCCCAGAATACTCAGTTATGCTCATGAGGAACCTGTACTTAGGCCAAGAGGTAAAGTTTTGAACAGAGCAAGGGGATACTGCATGGTTTAAAATCAGGAAAGGTGTGCATCAGTGTTGCATCCTTTCACCATACTTATTTAATGCTGAGCAAATAATCCTAGAAGCTGGACTATATGAAGAAGAATGTGGCATCAGAATGGGTGGAAGACTCATTAACAACCTGCAATATGCAGATGACACAACCTTGCTTGCTGAAAGCAAAGAGGACTTGAAGCACTTACGGATAAAGATCAAAGACTATAGCCTTCAGTATGGATTAAACCTCAACATAAAGAAAACTAAAATCCTCACAACTAGACCAATAAGCAACATCACAGTAAATGGAGAAAAGATTGATGTTGTCAGGAATTACATTTTACTTGGATCCACAATCAATCCCATGGAAGCAGCAAGCAGGAAATCAAACGATGCATTGCATTGGGCAAATCTGCTGCAAAAGACCTCTTCAAAGCATTAAAAAGCAAGATGTCATTTTGAGGACTAAGGTGCGCCTTACCCAAGCCATGGTATTTTCAGTTGCCTCATATGCATGTGAAAATTGGACAATGAATAAGGAAGACTGAAGAAGAATTGATGCCTTTGAATTATGGTGTTGGCGAAGAATATTGAATATACTATGGACTGCCAGAAGAACAAACAAGTCTATCTTGGAAGAAATACAGTCAGAGTGCTCCTTGGAAGCAAGGATGGCAAGACTTCGTCTCACGTACTTTGGACATGTTATTAGGAGGGACTAGTCCCTGGGGAAGGACATCATGCTTGGTAAAGTAGAGGGTCAGTGAAAAGGAGGGAGACCCTCGATGAGATGGATTGACACAGTGGCTGCAACAATGGGCTCAAGCATAACAACTGTTGTGAGGATGGCGCAAGACCAGGCAGTGTTTTGTTCTGTTGTACATGGGGTCACTGTGAGTCGGAACCGACTTGACGGTACCTAACAACAACAACAACAACAACAATGTAGAGCTCAGAAAAATCAAAAAACCAAACCTGTTGTCGTTGAGTTGATTCCAACTGATAGCAATGCTAAAAGGACAGAGTAGAACCGCCCCATAGGGTTTCCAAAGAGTGGCTGGTGGATTTGAACTGCCGACCTTTTGGTTAGCAGCCGTAAGCTCTTAACCACTATGCCACCAGGGTTCGGAGCAGGTGTTAAATAAATGTTGGCTGAATAAACGGAGTGCACTTATCATTCTATATTGAGATTATTTGTTCTCTCATATATCACTCCCACTAGACTGTAAACTCCTTGAAAATAGAGTATTTGTCTTTTAAATTCTGTACCCATAGCCTAGGACATAGGTACCCAGAAGGTGCTCGGTAAGTGTTTGTTGAGAAATGGTTGACTCTATGGTTCTTTTCCAGATTTGACCAGCATAAGTGAGTACTCACTATGGGCAGGCCTCCAGTTAACATGGTAGACAGTAGAATTTTTTTTAAAGGCAGAGGAATTGCTGAGGGTGCTGATTTTATTTCCTGGCAGGCGGTGGGTGGCCTTGACTGAATCAGACATCTTCTGGAACATGACAGACACTGGCTGGGTGAAGGCGGCCTGGACCTTCTTCTCTGCCTGGCCCAATGGGTCTTGTATCTTTGTGCATGAGCTGCCCCATGTTGATGCCAAAGTTATCCTGAATGTAAGAGACAAAAACACCACTTATGTGTTGAGTAGAAATGAGTAGGAAATAGATTTCAAGTTTGCAAGACAAAAGGTATGAATCATTGACCAGAAGGCTCCTTTGATGCTAATATTAACTAGCAAGCTGCCAGAACCTTCCACAGTCTAGTTCCTGTTCCCCTGGCTACCTTCAATCATCGCCTATGCCCTATCTAGATCCCTAGACATAAGACCATGTCATGTTTCCAATCTTTGCATATCCTATTTCGTCTGCATGGAGTACCTCCCCCGCCCCCATTTTCCCCTATGCTCTTGTCAAAACCCTATTTATTTTTCAAAACCTTGGGCAAAATCATAATCTACTCCCAAACTCTATGTGCTCACCTCCATTGGGCTCAGCATGATTATTTTGCCCAACTCTAGAGCTCTGATGACTCCTGACCAGCCACCCAGGGTCTTCTCGTGGAAAGGGAGAAGAACCGATGCCCAAGTAAAGACATGGGGCACTTTCCTTCTGCCCTCCATAATCTAACCACTATTCCTTAAAACATCAGAGGGCCCATGTGCCCATGCTCTTTGCTTTGAGGCAGGCTGTACCACACAGCGGTTTATAGCACACGCTCTGCAATCAGTCTGATCCAGAATCTTCCACTTGTTAGCTGGGTGGTCCTGGGAAAGTCACCTCACTTCCCAGAGCCTCTGTTTCCTTATCTATAAGAAAGCAATAATATCTTCTTATAGGGTAGTTGTAAGCATGAAATGAGATAATATATATAAAGTTTTAGCATAGGGCCTGGTACACAGTAGATTCTTTTTTTTTTTTTTTATTGTTGTAATTAAATGAGGTTTACATTTCAAGTTAGT